GGGAGGAATTACTATTATCTGAGGCAGCATAGTATAGTTCAGAGAGCACTCAATTTGCAGTCAGAGGATCTGGGTTCAAATCCTCACCTGCTACTTACTATTATTATACTGTTTATGTGACCTTGGCAAGCACGTCACCCCTGAGGAGCTCATTTTTCCTTTCTTGTAACATGAGGGGGTATGTCTAGATAATTTCTACGTTTTTTCTGAACTCTAAATGTATGATGTCATAAACTCTACTTGACAGACAGAAAAAAAGAAACCAAAACGGAGAGACGGAGAGGCTGTACCTTACTCAAGTTTGCCCAGTTGGTTCCTGATGGTGTGGTGACTTGAACCCAGGTGGCTCTTTGTGATGCTGTGTATCTCTCGCATCTCTGTGGCTGGGGCAGTAGTTCACAGTCTGGCCCAGACATGCATCTTTTGTGGGCTGCCTTTGCTCCATTTTTGCCAGCTGCTGCGCTTCAGTAAAGGAGAGCTCAGGCCTCAGCATTTCTTGTCCTGTAGACGTTGTGGATAAAAATCTGGGTGGTAGGACTACATAAGCCATGGGCTATGCTCCTTTCTCAGAAAAGGTCCTGTGTCACTTTTCCAAGTCCCCTTCATCAGCACCTCCTCCGAGAGCTCCCCTTTGCTGCCTCCAGGTTGCCATTGAGGGAGGAGTAGATTTTAACTCACCTAATTCAAGCTCCTTCTTAGATTGTGCTCATATGTCATACTTTGCTGGACATACTGAGGATTCAGGAGTTTCCAACAGAAGACAGGTTAGTAAGTGATCAAATGCGTCTCTGATAATCAGCTGATTCACACCATGACCCAAGGCTTCCTGAAAGTCAAGCCTTGTGGTCTCATCTCCCTCTGCATCATCCTCCAGGATGTGACTTTCTGCTACATGATCTCCATTGAGCCTGGTGCTCTATGAAATTTATCAATTATCTGTTAAGTGACTTACTATGTGTGACGCTGTACTGAGCATTGGGAATACCAAGCATTGGGGGTACAGAGACAAAACAAAAAAATAGCCCCTGTCCTCAAGGAGCTTCTATTCTCCTGGGTGATACAACATTTAAACGGATAAAGAAAATTCAAGGAGAGAGAGCATTAACAACTAGAGGGAACCAGTTTTTTGTAGGAGGTGGCGTTTGTGTTGAGCTTTGAAGGAAACCAAGGGACAGATGACTTGGGGTTATTCTGGGTTGATGGTAATCTCAAGGTTGAGCCATTTGCCTCCTAAATCATCAGCAGAGTCAGAATAGTTGGGGATGATGTAAGTCAGACCCAGGATTCTGGCATTTTCCAGGACAGCCATGCCTGTTAATAAAGGGTAAATGGATCTGTTTTGCTAGGTGTCTTGCCATTAAGGATAAGTACAGAGATGGTTGTTTGGTTGAGGATAGAAGGGAAGAAATTTCAAAGATGTGGTGGCAGTCTGGCCTACCATGCAGATAAATGCATCTAAGAAGGACAGAGAAGGGGCATCAGGTCCATCAGGGCTCTCCTGCAAATATAAAATTGAGCCTGGCATTTAAGGTGCTGTATGATTGAGTTCTCTCCTACATCTTCAACCTTATATAACTAGCTTAAAATGATATAGCAATTTATGTACATTTAATTTCCTACAATCATCTGATAAAGTAGGTAAATTAAGACTTACTGCCCTCATTTTAGAGGGGGGAATAAGCTTGGAAAGCTGGTGACTTGTCCATTGTCACACAGTTGATAGTAAAATGGCCAAGCTCAGACTGGAATCGAGGGCTTCTAACTCAAAATCTCCAACCTCTTCCCACTCTAGCACTATTGCCTTATCTCCTACTGCTTGCTATTAACCAACCAGGCTGGTGTTCTCACTGTCCTCTATACCCACCAGGCTCATGTTCCACTCCCTGTGTTTTGCTTATGCTGTTTCCCCTCCTGGACTGACCTCCCTCCTTCTCTGTAACTGTCCAAAATCCTGGCCACATTTCAAGTCCCACTTTCATGAAATATAAGATCCTCAAGGACAGGGATTGTCACTTTTGTCTTTGTATTCCCAACACCTTGCATGGCACATAATAGATGGTTAGTTAACTCCTCTTGGTAGACTGACCACCACAGCCCACAGTAATCTCTTCTTTCTCTGAACTCCTATTAACCATTGCCATGTGATTTAGCAACTGATTTTTCTCCAATTGTTTCAAGAGTGTGCCTTCCCATTTAGAGTGCATATTCCTATAGGGACAAAACAATGCCCTTGTGTTTTATAATTCCTCTGGTACCTGGCACAGTGCTGGAGGACATTATAGGCACACAGGGACAGCTATTAACATTACTCTACACCAACGTATGTGTAGAATTGTCATAGCTGACAATTATATGGTGTTTTGAAAGTCTGCAAAGTCTTCATCACAAATGTTATCTCACTTCATTTTCACAGTAACCCTGTGAGGAAGATACTACTATTACCCAAATTTTAGAGTTGCTGTTGCAATTTGTTGTTCAGTAAGTTCTGACTCTTTTTGACCCCATTTGGGTCAAATTTTTGATCCCATTTGGGATCTCTCTTGAAAAGATACTGGAGTGGTTTGTCATTTCCTTCTCTAGCTTACTTTACAGATGTGGAAACTGAGGCAAACAGGGTTAAGTGACTTGTGTAAGTGTCTGAGGCTAGATTTGAACTTGGGTCTTCCTGACTCCAGGCCTGGCACTCTATCCACTGTGCTATTTAGCTACCTTCCCTCCTACACCTGCTATTATAGGTAGATGTTATTATTGTCCTATTTTTAGAGATGAAGAAACTGAGGGTCAGAGAGGTTGAGGGATTTCATTAGTCATATAGCAAGTAAATGATCAGAATTCAAATCCAGGTCTTTCTTGCTCTAAGCTCAGTACTCTATTCACTACCCTATCCTGCCACCTCTCAGGTGGCATTTTAAGGAAATTTGAAGGGTATTAGTTTGATTCCTGGACATCAGCAGGAAGATATTATATCTTAAGCAAGGGAAAGAGTTCTGTACTGGGAATCTGGAGAACTGAGTTCTTGTCCTGGCTCTTTTACTCAACAGCTATATGATTTAACTGTCTATCTCTATGGCTATATGGTCCAGTTAATTATGAATGCTGTAGCAATGGCATCATTTGTCAAACTAGGATGCATCTATTAACTAAATAGATTTTGTTGATGTAGTCTGGCCCTGGAACTCTGGAACAGCTTATGCCTCTTGGTTAAGAAGATGGGAGGGTAAGTAGCTTAGTTTGCAACCTAGTTAGGATCTCACTGGTTGGCAGTGTCCTAAATTAAGCTGTTGTTCATCTCTGTGGTCTGTGCTGTAGTGTCAAATGGATTGTGAGCACTAGAGGGCCCCAGCAGAATATACAATAGTCATCTGGCACTCTATAAATAGAGAGGTGAGCTTACCTTCTGTCGATAAAGAGAAACTTCTGCTTTAAAGACCAGAAACTAGAATTGAAATTGTTCCATTGTCCAGGGAGTTTGGGAGCTGCTCAAAGTGATAGCAAAGTCTTGAATCTGGCAAAAGATTAGAGTTCTCAGTCCAAGTTTGAGACAGAGTCGTGATAAAAAAGGGAATATATTTTTCTAACTACCCACCATTGACTATTTAAGAAGCATGGGTTTGGTTTGAAGTCCCAGTGGCCCCTGATGTAACCATGAATAAGTAAGGTCTTAGATGGAGCCAAATGTGTTCTTATCTAGCCCACCAAACCATTTCCTCCATGAAGACTTCCCTGGTGCCCTCTCCTGCTGTCAATACTCTCACTCTCACCTCAAATATTTCTAGAGTGTCTAATTTCTTTTGACTCCACCACTCCCTACCTTGTATGACTCTTCTATGTACATAATCACATTCTCCAAAGTAGAATGTAAGCTCCTTGAGGGCAACAATTTGTTTGAGGAGAGAATGAGAGCATTAACAGCAGGAGAGGGCATCACTGAAGTCTTCATGGAGGAAGTGGAATCTGAGATAAGCCTTAAAGAAAGGGGAGTAATATGAAATGAGTCTAGAAAGCTAGGTAGGAGCCACATAGCTGCCAGGCTAAGGAGTTTGGTTTTTCATCCTAAAGGCAATGGGGAACCACTGAAAATTTTAAGGCAGAGGAATAACATGATCAGATCTGTACATTAGGCAGATTATTTTGGCAGCTGTATGAAGGATGGATTAGTGGCAAGGCAAAAAAGTGGCAGGAGAGAGACTAATCAGGAGTCAGTTACATAGTTTAGGTCTAGGCGATTACATAGTTTACAGTGTAGTGACTGACTGGATAGAGAGGGCAAAGAGAATATAGAGTCAGAAATGACTCCTGTATTTCAAATCTGGTTGACTGGGACAGTACCCGTAACAGAAAAGTAGAGTTTGGAGGAGGGGCATGGGTTTAGGAGGGAAGAGGATAAGTTAAGTTTTCAACATACTGAGTTTGAGGTGCTGATGGTATATTCAGGTGGAGATGGATAGCAGACAGCTGGATATGAAGGACTGGAGTGTGGGAGATATATTCAGACTGGATATATGGAATTAAAAATATCAGCGTAGAGGTGATCGCTAAACTCACGGGAGCCTATGAGATCAGCAAGTGTAGATAGAAAAAAAAAAAGCCTTGGAGGAGATCCTCATGTGTAGGGATGGGAATTGCTGATAAGCTGATGATAACAAATGGATGCTGAGAAGAAGCAGTCAAATAAGCAGTATCTAATTACCAGGAGAAAGCAGTGTCACAGAAGCGAAGAAGGAAACATATCAATTACGTATAAAGCTACAGAAAAATCAAGTAAAGCAAGAGCAAAAAAGAGAACATTTCTAATTTGAAAAAAATTATAAATTATTTTAAATGTCTTCATCTCTGGGCAAGTGACCTAGGGCTTCTTGGGACTTAACATCTCTGTGAGACCTGTTTACATGTCACTGTGACTTCTACATCACAGAGGATTACTGTTAATAGGATTTTCTGCTTAGAAGCTAGGAGCGTATCTCATTCCAGACCTAGAGAGGGTCTTCTTACAGAGGAATATGGGTCCAATGTGTCACTTTTTCTTTTTAGTCTTTGTTTTTCTGGAGGCAGACTCAGCTTACCCTGAATGCAACCCAGATTGTATATGCTCAGATGACAACTTCGGCAGGTATGGAAATGTTGGCAGGGTCCCCGAGAAATCCTAGAAGATTGATTTACTTTGGAAAATCTATTGTATGGGAGTTTGGGGGTATTTTTAAAGAGATACCCACTATCTTATGGACATTCACTTCAATTAATGCTACAATTTTTTTTGTGTGGTGAATTATGTGTTTTTACCCAAATGGAATTCACATTGACTGGAATTTTTATAGGAAATAGAACATTCTTCTTCTTCAGTATATTCATTTTTCCTATGGATATTCTAGTACCTACTCGGGGGATTGTGAGGAGGTTGTGGGAGAGGAGGTATTGAGAAGGAACATTAGAGCTCAAAGGATTGTGAGTCAGACAGTTCATTACTCACAGGCATGGAGATGTGTGTGGTTCCCTTGCCCTTCAGTCCCATAGTCATGAATCAGTGGCTGAGGCATACAGTGGGCTGTTATTGTGAGGTTATTGTGAGGATCAAATGAGATTTTATTATATACACAATTGAGAGCCCAGATCTTTGAGGTTTCTGCACTTATATATGATTTTTATTACTGGGCAGTTCAACAAGGATGAGTGGGAGGAGTCAATTAGTGGATGATCTGGACTATAAGCCCTCTTCCCCACCCCCCCAAATTAACTGAAAGGATTTTGTAATTAGTAACAATTGCTAATTTTACACACCTGAATTAGATGTAGTTTGCTGCGCTAATAGTTTGCTAACTTTGCAATACTAACCCCAAACATAGTGAATAAGTCAATTATTGGGTGTATAGGTAGGTCAGTCAAACATGTCAAACATGGTGTCAGCTAAGGCCCAGCAATAGGGAGCAAGGTGGTATAAATGCAAAAAGAACTGATTAGGGTTTTAATCTTGGCTCTGCTACCTATTAATTATGTGGCTTAGGTAAACTACCCTCTGGCCTCAGTTTCTTCATCTGTAAAATGAGAGGGGTTTGGACTAGATACTCTCTAATGTTACTTTCAGGTAGGAATTCTGTGTCTAAAGACTTGTTTGCTTTTCTGCAGGTCTCTGTTGTGCATGGATACTTCTTTGAGAAAGATCCTGGGAAACATCCCCAAAGATATCAAGAAACTTAGAATAGAAAACTCTCACTTAACTGAACTACCTCATGGGTCCTTTTCCAACAACAGTGCCTTGGAATTCCTTTGGCTCAACTTTAATAACATCACAGTGATTCACCCGGGAGCCCTGGAGCATCTGAAAGACTTGAAAGAGCTGAGACTGCAGGGGAACAGGTTGTGTACAGTACCATGGACAGCATTCCAAGCAACTCCAGTTCTAAACATCCTTGATCTCAAACACAACAGACTTGATGTTCTACCCAAGCAAGCACTTCAGTATTTGATTAACCTTACCTACTTAGATTTGTCCTTTAATGAACTTATGGTGGTGTCTGAGGACGTCTTCATCCAGTGGCCCATGTACCAGAAAAGCCAGCAACTCATGGCTAAGGCCGAAGGTATTTCCAATGTGGTGCTGGCTTTGCACAATAATCCATGGATGTGTGACTGCCATCTAAAGGGGCTTGTCCAGTTTTTCAAATTCATCAGACCCCCTGTCATACTAATGAACTCCTACTTAATGTGCCGGGGCCCTCTGTCAAAGGCAGGGCAATTTTTCTATGAAGTAGAGCTCAATAGCTGCATGAAGCCAAAGATGTCAACCCCTAATTCTAACATTACCATCCAAGTGGGGCTAAACACCACTCTAAGCTGCCTGGCACAGGCCAGCCCCTTACCAAACATTGTGTGGACTTACCCACTGAAGAAGCTGAAGGAATTTGATGGTAAGCTATGGTACTACTTAATTCTTTTTCTCAGGGGCAAGAGAAGGCTCCACCTAGCTCTGTGAATGTTTGGAGTAATACCAAGTGTGGTAACTGCCTGATGGACAAGATAGTGCGTGCTTAGGGCTGAATTCAGATATAGGAAATGATTACCTAAGATATTTACAGTTATGGAATGGAGCAAGGTTTATTAAAGGCAGTGTCAACCAGAAGTCTCATTAGCAGTGAGTACTTTTCACTGTGGAGTTGGGGCAGGCAGTCTTCTCAGGAGGATAGTTAAGGTAATAAAGTAAAGTTATAAAGTAAAGGATAGTTAAAGTAATGACGCAACTTATTCTTTCCCCTTCTCCCATTCTGTGACTAGTTACCACACAGTGCAGAAATATAGTTGAACCTGCAATGCTGGCCTTGGGCCTTTATCACTATTGCCAGATGAAAACCTCCTTCCCTAGCTCTGTTCAGAGCATCTGCAGGAAAGCAGCTCGGGCTAAGCGTTACATGATTTTCCGTCTTTGATGGAAGAACCAGGAGACGGGGGAGGGGGGGGATCTGATTCCTGAGAAACGAAAACTAAAGCAGAAGAGCAGAATGCAAAGACTACATGCAGCACGTGGTTGGTTGCTGTGCTTCATTCTGGAAGAGGACCAGAATGACATCACTGTGTTAGAGTCAAGTTACAGTGTGTCTGACTGTGGCTGCTCAGCCCAGTGCAAGCTCAGAGCGCTCTACCACAGGTAGGGCACAAATAGTCCATGTGAACATTGGGGGTGGAGTCTCTAAATTAGCGCAATTAGTGTTTCTTTTGAGCTACTTCAGTTCTGCTTTGTTCATAGAGCACAGTGTGTTCTTTGACATGGGCACACCCTGCTGGGTGGTGCTGTGCCAATGTCTCCCATGTCACACAGTCAATTCCAAAGTACTGCATTTTTGGAATTGATTCAGTGCATGTTGAGCATTTACAGCTCCAAAATCATATACAAATCAAAGCTTCATATGTTGGTTTTGTTAAGTGTCTAGACTTAAGAAAATGTTAATAATGCAGTGGGAGCTAAGACTGAATTAGGATGTAGAGAACAAAATGCTGGACATGGAGTCAAGAGGGTTCAAGTTCAAATCCTGCCTAGATATTTACTAGTTTAATGCTTTGATCACCACAGACAAATCACTTAGTTTCTCTGAGCCTCCATCTATAAAATGGTGCCAACAGTAGCAACTACCTCACGAGGTTATTGTGAGGATCAAATGAGATTTTATTATACACACATATAGCTTTATATATAAATGTGCCTTTTCTTTTCCTTTCTCCTTTTTTTGTTTTTCTCCTTGTCCTTCTCCTCTTTGACTCTTTTCCTCTTTCGTTCCTCCTTGTACTTTATTTCTTCTCATATAATCTTTGCAGAGTTTCAGAATATGTTTGATTGTCATCAGTGCTATTGAATGGATGTACAAAAATATCTTTTAGAGCATATATGTGTAAATATATGTATATATACATATAAACACACATAAGATTCATTTTATATACCATATACATCTCAAATACATATAAAGTCACACACAGAAAACAATAGATTTCATACAAAGCCAGAGCTATTTCCTAGTCTTCATGGGTTCCTGTCCAGAGTATTCTGGCCTTTGTTGTTGATTTGACAGATGTGTGCATATACTTTTTCATGCCTACACATCCAAATGTATTGAGAAACAGTATATCCTTAGCCTGTTGCTGTATGGCACTAGAACATCTTAGTGCAATCTGCAGAATTCAGTCAGTCCTCCACATATGGTTTACATAATACCAGATATCTGGATGGCTGGAAGCATACTGTTACTTGATTTTTCTCACTTAGTATCCTCATGTTAGCAGGTAGAGCCTTATCTCAGAATTGTGTGTCAGTTAATCAACTAACAAGCATTTGTTCATTGTCTATAGAAAAAAAAGTCCCTTAAGGACGTTTTGAGGCTCAAATGGGATAGTAGACGGAAAGCACTTTGCAAACCTTAAATGCAATATAAATACAAGTTATTATTGTTGTTATTATTAGCCTACATTCTCCAGACCTTCAATCTGGTGATGACTTCATTCTCTGATCCTTATATTGTACTCCTGCTGAGCTCAGGTAATATTGATAGAGCAGTACAGGGCATGCTGGTAAATGTTTAACACCTGGGGCTCTCTGGGAAAAAAGTATGTACACACTTAAAAATATTTGATCTGCATTATTAACATTTTCTTAAGTCTAGACACTTAAAAGAACCAGTATAAGAAGGCTTGATTTGTATATGATTTTGGAGCTGTAAATGCTCACACTGAACATTTAACAATGGAACTCTGGAAAAGCTGGAGCTGGTTCCAGCATACTCATAGCTCCTGCTCTTAAGAAGTTACTTTCTAGAGGGGGAGACAGCCTATATTCATGTAAGTATTGATAAAATATATGCAACGTGAATGAAAGGTGATTTTGGGGTGGGGAAGGTGCTGGTAGCCAGTTGGGTAGATCTGGAAAGGCTTCATGGAGTAGAAGGTGGCATCTGAGCCGAACTTAGAAGGAAACGAAGTATTTTAAGAATTCAGATAAGGAATGAGGAAACTGGAATATCTATAATATAGGACTTCCTCATTCACCATAGAGTCTTCTTTGGAAAAACCTGGTTAAATATGTTCAGGTCTTCAGGCTTTTGAAATATTTATAGGCATCAGGCCCAGTTCTTTAGTTAGTACAGGTAGTACCTATGCTTTTCCTAGCCTCTGGAAAAGTAACATCTAACTGGGTGACATGGCATTTAGAAAAATAACACCATATATCATAATCCAGTACAAAGCCTATAACCATTAGGATGGGTTGAGTCAGCATCACTGCACCCAGCAATGAAGTTTGTGTTCAGCGTTTTGACCTGCATAACGATATTTGTTTTTTTTTTTAATCCCCAGTGTCTACCTCTCCTATTGGGGAAGACTCTATTCAGTCTGAGTTGGTGATACCTTCAGCCCATCTGACAGACAGTGGCAACTACACTTGTGTGGCCACCAACTCCATGGGCAGCAGCTCTATCCCCATCTCCCTTCATGTTCAACCTCCTCAGGCTGTGCCCTCTTCCTCTTCCTATTTGGTTTCTTTGGAGGAGCATTCCTACATTTACATGAGGATTACCAAGCAAACTGTTTATGGGATTGTGCTAGAGTGGTATGCAGTAACAGATAACCCTTCTGAGACCTGGTTCACACTCTACTTTGGGATATATGAAGCTGTCAAGAAAGAAATTGTCTCTGTTGGCCCTGGGATTAACACCTACTGGGTGAATGACCTGCTTCCAGCCACAAAATATGAGGCATGCATCAGCCTACAGAGCCAGCCACCCCGAAAGGACCAGTGTGTTGTCTTTGTAACGGGAAATGACATCAGTGAGCTAGAGAAGAGGGAGAAGATCATACACATCATTGTTGTGGCATGTGCTTTGGTCCTGGCAGTGCCCGTAGGCGTGTATGTCTGTGCCTCGGAGGCTCATCTTGGTGGCCTGGGCCACTGTTTGGGCCACTGTCCTCAGAGAAGGAATGGAGCAAGATGCCCCAGCACTGTCATTGAGAGCAGGGATGCCATGTTTGACAACCTGACAACTGGCATTGACGAGAGCCTCTGTCTTGGGGAGATCAGAGAGGATCAGAGATGGAAAAGTGGGAAAGAGAGAGCATCTAATAAATCCCAAACAGAGAGTCAAAACAGTGTTCACCTTTTCTAGCTAGACTAAGTCCAAGGCAGGTTGACTTGGATCCTGTCAGTCAAACCACCAGGGTTGGGGAAGTAAAAGTCATATTCCTGTGAACTTTATGGTTCCCCCTTTGGCCTGGGAATATTGGCTGACCCACCAAAAGGTGGGCATGGTTCACCTTCTAGCTGTAAGCTCAATATTCTCAAAAATATTGTTGATACAGCAATGGCTCTGAGATCTCACTGATGAGGGTACTCCCACCACCACAGACTGTAGCCCATCCCTGCCTTCTCATCCTAAGTGATTCTTGTCCATTCCTCCTCATAAATTCTCCACTGGGGCCCACTCATTGTAGGATGTTTAGTATCAAATGGGTACCAGTATCCCCTTTATTAGTCCAGTATGATACAAGTGACCTGAGTGCCATTCCCTAATGAGTGAGAATATCACTCAGAGAATACCTAATGGCCCTCAAGGCATACCTTTTTAGAGGTCTTTGTGGACACCTATGGTCTTCATGCCAGCACATCCCTTGTCGTGTGTCAAATATTAGAAAGAAAATTTCTCGACGTGTGTGACAGAAACCAACTCCTATTAGTTATACTGATGCGTTGCATGTTGGGGGTGGGGAAGAAGGTTGGTTCTTCTGTGTAGTGCTTTTGTGAAATGCAATCACTCATTAATGCCATCCTGTAGACATAATAGGACCATTTTGTAAGCATAGTGACTCCCTCACTGCTGAGGGACTTGTGAATATTTACAGTACTTTGGGAAGGCAATGTTGTGATGGATTGTAAAAGCTACAAAACTCTTTAAGCCTATGACCTCTTTCCTAGGATTATGTCCTAAGGATGCCATTGAGAGGAAAAATAAGACTTATCTGTACCAAAATATTAATAATAGCATTATTTAAGATATATATTTTAAAAATAGAAAAAGCCATAGGCATAATGATTATCAAATTTCTAGACAAATTGAGGTACATGAGCATGCTGGAGTTTTGGTACACCATGTTTATCGACTGACCATGGTGAGTGACAGTGTGAAGAGTGAGAAATAAGAAGACACCCATATTAAGTGACATGGCACGAAGAAAGCACAATCAGAACAATCACATACACACTGCGACTATGCGAAACCCGTAGTAGAAAGAGTACCAACAACCCAAGAAAAAGACACAGAATCAAAAGTTCAGAAGGGGACATACGAGTAAACAAGATGTCATTATTTTGTCAAAGCAAACTTATGCATGTTAAGGTTGTAAATATTTTGGAGCTTACAGGTTTTTTTTTTACATCATCACTTTTTATCTTGTTTATCCAAATGTTTTTGTTGATACCAAATTTAGTATTAAAAATAAAAATGGTGACTGAAGGAAATAGAACATGATGGAAATAATTATGGAATTCAGGCACACCTGTCCTTGATGGGCAGTGATGACTATGGTAAGATAAAGAAACCTTATTTTCGCCACATATGGTGGTACATGGCTGTAATGCCTGCCATCAGGGAGATAGATTGGTGGATCTGTTAAGCTCATAATTCTGAGGTGCAGAGGGTTAAGCTGATTGGACATCCACAACAAGTTTAGTGTTAATATGATGAGCCCCTGAGAGTGGGGGGCCACCAGGTTGCCTAAGGAGGTGCAAACCAGCCCAGGTTGGAAATGGGACAGATCAAAGCTCTGGTGATGGATCAGAGCAAGTGACGGCCTCTGTACTTCCAGTCTTGGTGAGATAGAGTCTTTAAAAAATGAAGAAATCTTAATTTAAACACATATGTAGATATTTGTATATGGTGATAAAATTATAATTTATGAATAGTAGCCTACAGGTCAATCAGAGTCAGCAGCATCACATGGCAGCCCCAAAAGGCTAATGCAATCTTAGCTTGCATCAAGAACAGAATAAGAAGGTGATGATTTTGCTGTACCCTCATCAGACCACATCTGGACTATTTTATTTGATCCTAAGAACCATGTTTGAGAAAAGATATAGATAAACTGGAGGACATCCAAAAAACGACAACCAACATGACAAAAGGCTAAATGAACATTGTTGGAAAGCAATGGGGAGGCTTAGCTTGTGAAGGAGAGACTTAGTGGTGACACATTGGCTTGCTTCAAGTGTTTCAAGGGCTGCCATGCAGAAGAAGGATAGATTTGTTCTGTTTGGTCACAGAGGGCAGACTAGGAGCAAGGCTGGGAGTTGGTGACAGGCAGGTTTTGGCTGTGATGTAAGGAGAAGCTTTCTTCCAACTAGAGGCATCTCATAGAGGGTGGGCTGTCTTGGAAAGCAGGGGGTTCCCCCTTCAATGGAGGTTTTTGAGTAAAGGCGGGATGACTGCTTTTTGGGGATGCTGTGGAAAGGATTCTTGTTCAGACATGGGGCTGGGGTCATGTGGCCTCTGAGTACCTTTGCAAGTCTGAACGTTCCATGTTTCTATTCAGTTTGTCAATTCTTGTTCTTCATTCGTGAAAGTGGTCTAAAGTTAGTCTTAAAAGTTAATCTTAAGGGTCTTAAAGTTCATCTATTTATGTGCATATGGATATGTACATTTCTGTATACATACACAGAATAGATATGCATATACACATGAAATACCATTTTCTTACAGAATATGTACATGAAGATATAGTCATGTATTATTCACTTATGAATTAGTAAGTTGAACACGTTTACTTACGAGACACCCATTGATGATGTCTGTATAAATGTATATTCACCTAAACTTAGAGACCTGCATATCTCTACCTGTGCTTACTTTTTCAAGAATACATTTCCTTATCAAGGATTCAATAAAGACTGTATATAATCAATGGTTTGTATTTGTATATTTGTTGGATTTTTGCCTTTTAAGGAGAAAATATGGCAGTGAAAAATGCCTTCATTATTCATGGATGCTTCAAAACTTATTTTTATATGTGTAGGATTTACATCTGGAAGGTACCATGGAGATCACATGGTCTAACCACGCGGTCATTTCACAGTTTTGGAAACAGAGTCCCAAAGAGGTAAAGGAGCTTGCCCATGGTTACACATGTTGTAAATGACAGAGCCAGGATTTAAATCCAGAACTTTTGACTTCAAGTACAGTGATTGTTCTGCTATACCAGTGGTCAGTGTTTAGGGGACCCAGCAATACTTTGTTTGTTTGTATTTTTGGCTAGGCGATGGGGTTAAGTGACTTGCCCAGGGTCACACAGCTAGCAAGTGTTATATGTCTCCATGTGAGGAACAAGGCCAGTTTCTCTGAACCATACCATGTGTTAAGTGAAATAATTCAATTCAATTCAATAAACATTTGTTAAGCACTTACAATGTGCCAAGCACTATACTAAATGCTTAGGATACAAATAAGCAAAAGAAAGACAGACCCTGCCCTCAAGGAGCTTATAATCTAATGGAAGAAAAAAAAACACACAAAAGGAAATTGGAAAGGGGAGGGGGTACCTGCTCTGGGGCACTTGTTCTGTGGAGTTGAAACCAAGCAGAACTATAGATGGAAAGTAGAGTGAGCTGAAAAATCCCAATCCTGCCTTCTATAAAGGAAAGTTTCAGAAGGGTTTGGTATTCTACCCTCTAGCCCTCCAATCAGAGGGGAGAAGAGGCTGAGGGTGGTGAGAAGGTATCAAGTATCCAATGCTGAGTTATCATCATAGTGATGAGATTTGACATGATCAGAATATCCTGGGAGAAGCATCTTGTTCTGTGGAAAGGTAGGTTGGACCCAGGTTATAAAGGGTATATTAAATGCCGGAGGAATCTGTCTTTGATCCTAGAAGAAATAGAGAACTACTAGAATTTGTTGAACAGGAAAATGATACGGTCATGGTATGGTTCAGAGAAACTGGCCTTGTTCCTCACATGGAGAAGTCCATCTCTGGTCAAAGCTCTTCTCAAATAACACCTTCTCCAAGAGGCCATTTTTGTAACAGGAAGTGATGACGGGAAGTGAAAATCCCATCATATGCCAAGAGCTACAGATAATGGTAAACAGAGAAGGCCTCAGTAGGAGACATTTTGGGGGGATCCACACTAGAGGCAATACTTGTTCCAGAGCCTGCCAAGACAGAACTGTAATTACCTAAGGCTATATAGGCCTTGGGGAAGGATTGCTCATAGGCAGCAGTCCTTATTTTCTTCTTTTTGTAAATTTTAACTTCAGTTGACAAGTTTAAGTATTCTAATGGAGACACAAGAAAAGTAGAAAAAAGTAAGAAAAACAAACAAGACAAAGAAAAAAACCTAAACGATTGCATATGTGTTTGTAAACTATTGTTACATATAGATCAGTGGTTGTTCACCTTTCATTTTTTTTGAAGAGGACCAAGGACATCACAGGGTGATATCTTGATTAATGCATGAATCAAATTTAAGTGAGGCAGAGTTGTACAAAGTCATGGAAGTCCAGTGGCAAGACAAAAATCAAGATGACTGGTGATGACCCAGGATGCAGTGGATGACTGTAATGACAATTTCAATACCCCCTACTCAAATTAATCAGTATTTATTCATTTTATTATGATTTGATGGGTATCAGTGATTTTGTTAGTGAATTAAGCAGAATAGGATATAGTTTAAATTAGTTGTGTATTTTAATGCAGTTAGGACAAGAGTTATGAATGATTACTCTACCGTATATTAATGATTATATTAGTTGTATTTATAGCTAGATTCATATTGTTAGTTAGCAATGTAACAAGACTGTAGTTTCTGCACTGGCCCCTCCCCCAATCTGTAACATGCTGTAATACGGTTCATTTACTGGTGTAATATCCCTCCCATCCCTATGAGTCACTACTGTCCACTCCCTTGTGACATTTGCTTCAAAACCACAACTTCCTCGGACCCGGGAATACTGTTGGTCAAACACTAGAGTCTTATGACTTGTGGAAGGCCCTGAGATATGTATTTGGAAAACCTCTGCTGAGATGACCTGGAGTTGATGACATGTGGAAAATGTCATGACTCATGAAAAGTCTGTTGACAAAGTGGTTATGATTGATGGACATTTCCCTTAGCCAACCATAAGACTGCCCCACTTTTGGAATTGACCAATCAGTGACTTGTAATGCCTCCTATTTTTAGTGTTCTTCCAAGTGCATAAAAGTAGCTAGCACCCAAGGGGAGGAGGCCCTGATCATTAGGAAGTTCTTGGACCCAATTAATTAGGAACCCCCAGACTCCCTAATAAATTGGTCAATCATTCTTGGAGTTCTCAGTGACTTTTGTTACAGATTGGAATTTTTTGGCCCATGTGACCTTAGTGTCTTCAATGTCTGACCAAGCTCTAAGCACTTCCACAATGCCAGCTTCATCTGCCTTCATAGCCATTGGAATAAATTGTTCTTCTCTACCCATCCCACTGGGAGAAGTCTTCACATGCTTGGGGTAGACATCCCCCTAACTCACCAATAGGTTTGAGGCCTGTCAGTTACTCTTAACTTGGTTTAGCCTGTCTGCCAAGAGGGTTTACCGGGGTGTGGCCACTGAGCACAGTACGGCTCCTTGGTGAGAGTGGGGTGAAGGTGAACACCAAACATGGATAAGGAGCAGCTCTGAAAATGGCTTGGCAAGCCCTCACACCAGAGGTGCTAGTCTTCCTGAACACCCCATATGCCCCTAAAAAATATTGGTAAAACCAAGACAGATCTGCAGGATAACATAACAGCAGCTAA